GGAGTTGCGTACAAGGTTGGAAGCGACGGTCGGCGTATCGTTCCCTCTCGGCGACCCAAACATTTGTACTCACCAGAGGAGCGGGACACAATGGGTGCCAAAGCCAGAGCTAAAGCGTACAAGAAAGACAAACGAGAAAAGGCGAAGGCAGCCAAGAAGGAAAAGAAGAGAGCCGCCGTGGGCAGGAAGATCGTGAACAATGTGCTGGACAAGATGATTTTTCCCAAGATAGTTCAGTGCAACAAGATCGACCTTAAGTTGGGAGGATTGTGTACTGAAGGATGGGAATGGGCTGAAGAAATGGTCCAACAACACGTCCAAGACGAATATCTTCAAGATGTCGTTCCAGCAGTTCCGGCTTACTCGGTATTAAACGAAGATTGGGTACCAGCCTTGCCTTGTACTACGTCAGTGCCTCAACAGCCACACCGTGTCAAGAATCCAGAACGACGATCATGCTTCAATGCCATGGTCACCCGTCCTGTCACACGGAAAGAAATGGTCTCCAACCCCAAAGCCATGGAAGCATTCGTGAAGGAGTGGAAAGGGTTGTGGGATCAAGAAGTCTTTGATTTCTCTCAAACCCGTGAGTATGACGACGTGATCAAAGAGGCAAAGAAGAAAGGCGAAAAGGTACACATGGCTCGTGTGCATGGGCTCATCTATGAGAAGAACTATCAGTTGAAGGAAGATGACCCTGCCAGGAAGTTCAAAGGGCGTGGTGTGCTGCTCGGTGATCCGGTGAAAGACCAGAATATGGAAGCAGCGCTATTCCAAGATCTTGGCAATTCCCCAGCTGGGCCGACTACTACGGTTGTTTACCAGGGAACGATGTACAAAGTACAAATGGCAGACGCAATTCAGGCGTATATTCAGGCTCGGCTCACCGGCACTCCATGCTGGGTGGAGCTGCCAGAGGAAGCCTGGCATCCGTCAGCAAATCATCGCAAGTTCCGACGACCGGTCTGCAGGCTTGTCAAAGCTCTATATGGACATCCTGACGCGGGAACCATGTGGGAACAACATTGTCACACGGCAGTGCAGAAGGTTGGTTTCAAGCCTATCGGGGACGAATGGCCTTCGTTGTATTTCCACCCGGGCAAGAAGTTGCTCTTGGTGATCTATGTCGATGATTTGAAGATGGCTGGACCCAAGGATCAGCTACAATCAGGTTGGGAAATGCTTCGCAAGGAACTCCGTCTTGAAGAGGAAACGCCGTTGGGCTTGTACCTGGGCTGCCGCATCTCCAAAGGAGAAGCAACCCTGCACGACAAGACGCGTGTGCAAACCGTGACCTACGACATGGAAACGTACCTCGACATGACGGTCAAGAAGTACTGTGATGTTACTGGGTTCGATCCAAACAGATTCAAGACAGTTCCGTCGCCGAGTCCCTCGGAAGAGACAAAGAATCATCCGGCCAGGGCCCCGGCGTGTCACGGGAAAGGTCATCGAAGCACGTGGTGTGGACACACCATGCCTGTTGACGCGGATGGTCGGTTGATACCGCCTCCACCTGTTCCCAAGGTCCCAGAGGAAGAGGCAGTCACAGACGAAACTCGAGGTGCTTTGGCCCCTCAAGCGGCAAGTATACTCATGAAGTTGCTGTATGCCGCACGCATTTGTCGTTTCGACCTGCTGCGAAGCATCAACAACCTTGCTCGCAAAATCACAAAATGGACCAAGAAGGAGGACGCTTTGCTGCACCATCTCATGGCGTATGTGCATCAGTCCAAACATCACATGATGGTTGGATGGGTGGGGGGCTCCATGGAGACCTCATCCATCGGGCTGTTTGCGGATGCAGACTATGCTGGTTGCGGTGAAAGCTTGAAGTCTACCTCCGGTGCTCACTTGCACATTCAAGGTCCTCACACACGTTTTCCTCTTGCGGGACTTAGCAAAAGGCAAGGGTGCCTTAGTCACTCTACACCTGAGGCTGAGATTGTTGCGGCCGACTTTGCTATGACTCGTTTGGGACTTCCTGCTATCACGTTGTGGCAGCAGCTTGGAGGCAACGACCCCAATTTCGTCTTTTATGACGACAACCAGACCATGATTGGCGTGATTCGCGCTGGGAAGAATCCTACCATGCGTCACCTTGAACGGTCGCACGGTATTTGCATTGGTTGGACGCATGCCATCTTTCAGGAAGGGTGTGTGTCTCTGGCCTATGAGGTTACAGCCAAGATGGCTGCGGACATTCGCGCCAGATCCTTTAAGGACTCGGTGTCCTGGACACATGTGTGTCGGTTGATCAACATCTTTCCTCCGGCCATGATTGGTTCCCAGGATATCATGGATCTGATGAAGCACGGGTGAGAAGGGGCAGCAACTTTACAGCTTCAAGAGCGATGTGGCTTGTTTTCCTTACACTCAGAATCCCATATTCCGCGCTTGTTGCGGGATCCACCGTCTGCGTTGCCGCCGGGTCGTTACCTTCGGTCGGTCGACCTGGATTCTTCGCGAAGGTGTGTGGCATCAGGTTGAGGATCGCGCTGCTATTCCCCAATCGCCTGTCAAGTTTGATCGCTATGTGGAACGCGCCGTTTTCCAGTATCATCCCATTCGGCAAACCTTGGCCTCGGCGCCTGCGGTCGCTTCGGCAGAGCGGTGTGAACAACGCTTGATGGGCTCCAAGAACTCGGCGGTTTGCGTCGGAGCTAGGCGGTGCGTCATGGATAGACCGGGGCTTCATCAAGTACAACAATTACGACCTCGGGATCTTCGAAAATCTCTCCAAGGGCACAAATGACCCATGGGGGGAGGTCGCCCAAAGAATTGCCCTTACTGCAGCGAAGTCAGGAACTCAGGTGATCGTTGAGGTTCCGCCAGAAGCTCAGATTGCCGAATCCAGGCAGTGTACGTCGTTGTCCAAGGGTGAGGCATGGAGACACGTCGTCTTGAGCGGGTGTTCTCGCGGCCAAAGACTGATGAGCACGAATCATCAAGGACAATCATGTGTGAAGTACTGCAATAGGGAATGGGAGTTCTTCACTGCCAACACGACTCTGGAGTCTAAACCTTCAGATCGCTGCAAATCGAACCACAAACATGCCGAAGAGCATGACTTCAACGATCCAAGTAACAGAGAGGTGAGGACCAGCCAAGTGTCAAAGAGACTCCTCAAGTCCCTGGCCTTTGAGGCAGGCGACGGTAGGCTCGTGTCGATGCCGGCGAAAGGACCCAAGAAGAAGCTTGACGGTGTGATTGTCGAGTTTCGGCTCAACAAAGAAGTCGCCACCGAAGGATTCGATCGTCACGCGCATATTGTGCTTGACGGACCTCCCAAATCTGCTACTCAGGAAGATGAATTGGTGAAGAAAATCAGCAAATTGCGCGGCGACAAAGTGCAAACGCCTGTGCTGTTTACAGTATCGCTTAGGCGATCAGGCGGTGGATCCAGCCCTAAGGACGGAACCCATGCACAAGGGGGTAGGTCACCTGGGGGGTACAAGGCTTTCCGGGGGGTCCTGAAGTCTCTCAAACGCCTATTCAAGAAGTTTGCGGAATCGCCACATGTCTATTTTTCTCTTGACATGCCGTCGACTTGCCCGTGTTGGTCATGGCCTGAACTGCATGCTCTTTTAGGGTCTAAGGTTCGCAAGGTCAAGGCTGCTGAGTGTATCAATGCTACAGGAAGATTGATTGGACGTCGTTGTGTGATTTCCAACTTCTTTGATTCCAAGTGCGTTGAGGAGCATGTTCCCCAAAACGCCGAAAGCATGAGTGAGTGCAGTTTGCGTGATTGCATTTACAAAGCATGGTCAGTGATTGCTTCGAACGACCGCAGCATGTTGTGTCACAGTGTTGAGTCAGGACATCATGAAAATGCTGAAGCTATACATGGTTCTCATAACGGTAGGAGTGACAGTTTGTGCACTGAGGCCTGTCGCATCAGGTCTCGCCCTGCCAACAACTAAGGTCTGAAGATCGGTGGACCGGGGAAGTCGGGATCCTTTGGATACGGCGGAACCGGGAAACCGTAGGGTAGGATTGGGCATCTTTGAGATACCATCCTAACCCGGAGCCATGGCGAATGCAAGCAATGATGTTCCTTTCCAATTTACTGGCGTGGCACCTGAGAACGTGCTCCCGCAGAGGTACTTAGCGACACTGAACACCTTTGAGAAATTCCTCTAAGTGTTCTCCGCGAATGCTGGAAACAGAGAATTGCCGACGAAGATTGTGGCAGGCAAGGTGATCAGCAACGATTTGATTCATCAATGGATCAGGTATCAGGTACCACCTTTGTTCATTGCCTTCATATGCGTTGCACAGCCGGTCAACGGCAACTCTGACCAGAGATTTTGCGAGATGATCAAAGCCTGGGTTGAAGCAGCAACAGATGAGATCAAGCAGAGATCGTACGGAGAAGTATTGTCGGACCTCAGACGGGTAGCATCTACGTGCCGCCAAACCGTTGCCGACATTGCGATCCGGTTCAAGTATACCATTGAACTCTTTGCTGAATCCGGTGCTATAAGAGATGGCTTGGATTTCTCGTCCAACAGGATCAGTGAGGATTTGTCCGGCGACCGCTTCAATCTGGATGCCACAGCGATTGCAACTGTGACCAGCCCTAACTTCTTCAACGAGACTTACGTTGTGAACAACATTGAGGAGGTTACAGGCATTGCGTATTCTGTAAGGGATGGCAAGTTCTACAATATGTTCCAGGACTATTACTGGAAATTTCCCGTTCGGCATCAGATGATGAGTGAGCTCGAGATTGTGAACGTCTCCAAGATGACGGTCAAGTTCGCGAAGAATGTGGGCTATGGCATCAGGACTCACAATGAAGACATCGATGCAAGGTCATTGGCGTCTAGCGAACAACGACCTCCATATATCAACGCCTTTGACGTTGCTCTCGGCCGGAGAGGCATTACCCCCTGACACAGAACAACCTCTCGCGTTCGCAGTGTGCAACATGCAGGCAATCCACTTGATCAATTCGTACGTCAAGTACAATCAAGAGGTGGAGGAACATCAGAGATATGCCTGGACCGGTCGAGTATACAGCGACATCAAAAAGAGACGGCAAAGACTTGCGCAGAGAAGCAAGTAATCCTGGCGTCGACACCTCGAAGTCAAGGAGGAATGCAATTTCCAGAAGCTTGCCTGATGTGGTCGTGGACTCAGTTGGCCGTCGAGTCAGGACTTACAAAGGACAGGATTGCGTGGTCGAGAGGGAAGCCTTCGAAGTTTGGGAAGACGAGCTGGGTCGTGCACCAAAGCCTCTTGCGTTGCGCAGTGGCGATGGTGTCTTTCCACCAAACCTATCACGTCATCCTGAGTGGGTATTTGCATCAGGACGTGGTGTTCGAGATGCCCGGCCCCGCGCTCAAGAGTTGCCTCAAGGCCCTCAGCATCCCTCTCAAGACATCAATGACAACCCATGGGGTGATGTACCTTGGGGCAGCGCTACAACGCCTTCGGGTCCGTCGGCACCTCCACAAGCAACTCCTGCATATGGACCAAAGAGGGCAAGGGCAGGCGACGCACCAAACGAAGCCGGTCCACAGGGAAGTCAGCCAAGCTCGGCGGGCCCTTGGGTCAGCCAGCAGGCATCTTCCTCCTCGTCACAACAGCCACCAGCAACGGAACAGACGACGGTTCAATGGGCGGATGTCCCTTATGCTGAGGGCGCCGTTGAGTACGTCTTTCACTTTTCAAAGGAAAGCTCTGCTATGTGCAGAGCGAAGCTGTTCTGCTCGGTGGCACAACCGGATGTATTTCCAGCGGCGTATGATGAGACACCGAGGTACCTCCCAAACGAGGAATTGGGAACTACTCCTATTGAGCATTACATCCGACGGCTCGTGACATATTTGGCAAGGGTACAATCTGTGACGCAGAACACTGACTATGGCTTGGCGCTCAAGGTCTATGTGAAGCTTGGGATTCATGATTGGTTGAAGATGTATTCCAGGTTGTATCACAGTTGTGACTTACATCCTTGCGAAAACTTGCCTACGCCTGCGATGCTCACCGTTGCGGCTATCGTCAACACCGAAGATGACCTCAAAGATCCTGATGGGGGCGGGGAGAGAATTTTGCCATCAGAGAGAGAGAGAGAGAGAGAGAGAGAGAGAGAGAGAGAGAGATATGAAGAGGAAGCGGCTATTCACCGACAGAACGTTGTGCAGGCGGCCACGGAGATGCGAGCTAAGCTTTCCATAGGCGGAAGTCCCGATGCCACAACGATCCGGTCGCAGCCAACCATACTATGCACCGATTTCGAGTTGTACGCCAAGAATGGGGCCACCCACTTCCCACTGCAGAATGAGCTGATGGGCAAAGGGTGGAGTCAATTTGCCAAGTTCTCGCCAACGATCAGCACAGTGGTCAACTTCTCGGAGACGCAAAGGGTCTTCACGAACCTTATCGACAATCTCGAGAGAATGCCACAGGAACAAAGGTCAATGGTGACCATCCATGTTCATCTTTGCTTACAGGACATTGTTCATGAAAGCCTGGCGGTACCGTTGCACGAGTCATCCCTACAGGCCCGAGAGAGCATGGAGGAGATCTTGAAGGATACCTACGTCAAGTATTTCAACAAGATCCTGAGCATGGTGCCCAGGCCCCAATCGTGATGATCAACCACGACAGACGCTTTCTCGCCGCCTCTCACAAGGTTCTCGACCAGAGACAGAACTTTGCGGGGTATGACGCCGTGGGCGCTTACCTTACGCTTCAGCTACGTTTCCGTGGATGCATTGTAGTTCATGGCTCCTCCTTTTGGTGCAAATTATTGAGCTTGTTGAAAGAGAGCCAGTCAGGATCTCACGTGTTCAGCGCCGAAAAGATCACGGAACATGAGCCGCAGAAGCATCATCACAGAGGATTCGCGATTTACGAGAAACAACTGTTTTGTGAAAAGATGATTTCAGCTTGCTTCCTGAACGCGCAGCAGTTGGTTGCCTGGGAGAAGATGCTTCACCGGAAAACCACTGATATCAAGCGCTTGAAGGAAATTTGCATGGACTTCACGCAGTTGCATTTGTCCTCCACTGTGAACCTCAATTCCTGGGTTTCACTTGATAGACATCGTGCTATCGAAGAGGAGAACAGGCGCGATGACTTGGTCAGGCGTCCTGAGTTGGAGTGGCAGAACTTCGTGTTCCAGAACCGACGTACACAGAGGAACAGTATTGGTTCAGGGTCGATGACTACAGCACATCGGATGTGAATGCCTGGGCAACGCCGGAGACTTTCTTCTGCGAGCTTTGCGAACAGGAAAAGGATGCCACCATCTTTTGCCGGGACAACACATCGTTCAGGTCTGATCGACCTCAATTTCCGGATCGGTGCATCGGCTGTACGTATGTTCGTTTGTAACATAGTGCATGTATCCCAAGTAGAGAGTGCAGAGTAATCACAGGAAACACATGAAACATGTGAACGTTCCGTGACAC